AACTATTCAGTTTCCCTATCTCTGTGCAAGCCACAAGGACTGCTATTACAGATACTTCTTGTCCTTTCCTCTCTCCATTATCTGCCATGTGCAAAGGAAGCACTGTGCATAAAGCAAGAGTTGGGAATTTAGGAAGAAAATAAAACAGAAGCTGCCGAAGAAAAAACAGTCAGAAAATAAAAAGAACCTAGCAGCAGCAAAAAAAATACCACTGTAAGAAAATCTTCTGGATTGTATTTGCAGAACAGGTTAGTATTAAGTACATGCCATATTGCCTGAAATTGCCTCACAGATGTACTTATTACAGACACCAAGAGCAGAGATACCATCACACAGAAGAATGAAAAAAATCAAATACAAAGTGAAAATTTTATATTGAATTTTCAGAGTAAGAATCTTAAAATGTCTCAATGAACTGAGATTACTATAATGTAAAGATCATACCTTACTGGATCATACAATATCAACCCCAGAAATTTGATGAGCTACAATTTTTTAAAGTAAAAGACTGTGTATTTAAGCAAACTACTACATGTAATTTCCACTGCCAAAGAACTATTGAAATGAGATTACAAGACACTTAAATACATTTTTTCGTGAAAGAAATACAGTCTGAACCTTTGAATGGCTTTAACAATCAATGACTGAAGAAAGCCCAGTCAAAAACCTTTACTCCCAATTCTGCAGTTTGATTCTGCATTCAGTACCTGGGGATCTCAGAAATTGGCCACAGAGCTCCAGTAGGGTAATTTCACTAATTTAAGTCATCAAAAAGAACACACAGCTCAAGCAATTTCAATCTCAACCCCAACCAAAGCAGCAAACATTCAATTAGACAGTACTAAATAGATAAGAACAAATTCTGTTGTACAAGACCAGGAGATGCTGAAGCACCCTGATTACCACTTTTTTATGAGCATGTTAATAATTAAGAATAACTTACGAGAAAGAGCAGTACAGCAAATTGCTACAGAACAGCATAACAGGCTAACAAACATTTTTGCTGTAACTATGAAACACTTTGAAATATTTGAGATAGAAACTGAGCATAGGATGTTCAAGTGGTACAATTCATGACCTGGCTTAAAAGGGGAAAGTTAAAGATGATATTCAAAATCCAAATGGAAGAAAGAGATTCTTCTCAATAACAGAGCACATATCAATAACCATATGAAAGTTAAACACACACTTCTGAGAGAAAAGACACAAGTTTGGGATATAGCAATTTTCTGGTACATATGAAATAGGCAGTACCCACAACCATGTCAAGAGCACCAATTCATGGAAAACCAGAAGAAAATATTTGTGTGGACTGTATCCCTTTTTTACTACATTTTGCAACTGTTAAATGTATTGTTAGCTAATAAAGCCTTTTTGAATTAAGCAGTGTAGCTTAATATATATTTTAAATTTTTAATAAGCAGTCTATGCCCAAGACATATTAAAAAAAAAAACCAAAAACCACAGCATGCAAAATAATCTGCATTTTCAGCAAGTGACATTGTCCACTAGTTCCCACCTGGTGAAGAACCCCAGCACTTCAAATCAGTTATGGCATAGCATGGAACACAAGTTCATAACGTCTCCTGGATTTATTAGTTTGGAAAAAAAAACTATGAAAAAAAAATTATGAGTGGCATAAGAGAAAACGAGGCAGAAAAGGGGATTGTAACAAGGTCCATACAGTGTTTTTGTCTTGCAAACAAACAAATAAATAAACAAAAACCACAGTATGGAAACCATCATACTAGTCAACAGAACGAAAACTCAAACCCCAGGATTTTCAAGTTGTGAGTTATTTTAAGCTTTAAAATCAGTGTTGCTTAGTTGTTGAAGAAAAAAAAGCACTTTGGGATTTTAATCACCAAAGTTTTATATATACCTGTAAGTTATTAAAAATAACAGAACTTATTTTGTCATTTTGAGTAGTATTCATTTAATAGCAGTTTTTAATAACAGTATTGCCTAATTTAGGGCAGTTACTTTCAACTGTTTGCAAGTTTTCTCAATGCTATGAACAAAATTTTCTGCATTAGATGCCTATCATGCCATTCTAATCAAAATATATCAGCTAATTCTGAGACTAATTTAGTGGGAACATATTTTTTCCCAAGACCTTCTCTTCAGAATTTCTTAAAACCCTTTAAAAAAAGAGACATGCAAAAAAATCCTTCAAAAATTGACAAATTCATTATGTCCCCAAAATCATAATTACAAATGCCCAAGAAAGATCTAAAAAAACCAGCTGAAATCTTACAGGATGCACCTTAACAGCACATATTTGAGGCAATTCCAAATTTTAGCACTATTCCAATAGCACATCTGCTAACATGACTGAATAAATAAGCAGACAAGATTTGGTCATAGCTGCTCTCCTAACTAATATTTTAAGTAAAACCTAATTTTTAAACTATTATTTTTTACCTGCTATAGAGGTACAAGCTTACCTTAGCTTATAACCTAGGATGATGGTTTTCTTTTAATCAGAACACTACACGAGAAACATACCAGCACACTCTTATTTGAAGACTTCCATGGTCAAGAGGTGGGTAAACACTGAGAATACATCCACAAGAGCCCACTAAGCAGACTGCACTCTGATGGAACTTTGCAGAAGTAAGTAGGTAAACCCTAGCCCTTGACATATAATCAGTCATTTATGCTAAACGGGAAGGGGGTGGGGGGTAGTGGAGAACAACTGCATGGTAAGCTAGGCTCTCCTGACTGATCTCACCAAGGTAGTAGGGACCTTATTCACTGAAAGAAGACTCACTGAAGCAGTGGAAGTCTTTGTTAATTCAAATACAGGAGTTCACCTTTACGGCTGTCAACCAAAACTCACTATTTCAATCTCCTTGTATATCTCAAACCCAAGACTCTCTAAGTAGTACCTGTGAATAAGATCCTGACAAGTAAATCTATGACCACTTGAAAACAAGTTTGGTAGTGAGGCAAGATATACAACTCCTTTGCTTCTTCGGGGATGAAAAAAAAAAGCCCCCAAGGCAACTCACATGAAACAAAGGCAAAGGAAGGACAAGAATTTTAAGCAGTTAACCTATGGAGGGCTCTCTAGTTCAGCTAAACAGTAAGAGAAGGTCCATCTCCTAGGGTATACTTCTCTTTTTTTGTGAGAATATGAGGGAAAAAATACTGTGGTATTTCTTTTCCTGACTCATAAAATACGGGTTTTGTCCAATTGCTTTTTCAATCTGTTTATCTTCTGACAGAGGTTAACAAACAGAAGTGATGGTGCACAACTCCTGCTTATTTAACTTCTCCATGTCAATTGATTTTACAGATCTTTGTCTTATCCCATTTCAGAGTCTCTTTTTGAGGCCATGAGTCCCTCACTATTTACTCACTCCTTATAAAGATGTTCTTTGCCATTGTTCACTGCCATGGCTCTTCTTGTACCTCTTTTGGCATGTACCGTATCTGTTTTGAATAGAAACTGTCCTTTCCCTTTAACATTGATTTTATTTGCCCTCTTACCACCTTGTCAACACAGGCTGGTGTGGTCTTTCAGCAGTTTGTGACAGCTGATCTTCATAATAGCTCGTTGCATAACCCAGCATAATCAGCAAACTTGGTGTGTGTTGTTCCTCCTCTTTTCCCCCGGCCGTTTATGAATACATTGAGCTGTACAAAGGGCCAAGTCTTCCCAAGACTCTGATGGCAAACCTCTCCTCTGTGAAAACTGAGCATTGACTTATTTGGGTTTTTCAAAAACTTTTAACCTGCTACTAAACTATGACACAAACCCTCCCCTGAACTCCAAACTGTTCAATGAAAGTGTTGTCACTGAGTTAGAGTGTGCAGTTATCTCTGGAAATGAAAAACAGAGGAAAACTTCCTAAACTAACAAAATTTTAATTAACTTCTTTAAAAAGGTTTCTGTCAATTTGTGCAAAAGAGGTACCACTCCGTTTTGGGTGAAACCACCTTATTTCTCTAGAAAACCAGTCCAGAAGAATGATGTAAAAATATGAACTGCCACCTATAAGAACAAATTGCTATTCGATATTGAAATGTAATCTGTGTTGGTCTTCACATAGCATTTCTGCTATCCATACACTATACACATCTGTTCTGCACACACACACATATTAAGCTGGATTTTTTCATGTTTATATCCACTATCTTAGATCACTGTAGATAAATTACAAGTTCATTGCTTATAAGCACACAAAAAGATTTATAATTGATATGTTCATTGTAAGAGAGATTCCCATCAGAAAATAAAAAATGCCAGGAAAAAGGAGTATAAAATCATCACGTATATTGTAGTATTCCTTCATACTTAACAGTAATCACAGTGACTTTCTGCAACTATAACTTCATACTCTCTCATCTTGATAAATGTAATCTTGTCCAACTTAAATTCATACAAAATACTATCATAAAGGTATTTTTTCTGGTTCATTACTTCAACTATGCCACCCTTCTGCACTTCTCCCATGCCTCTCTTATTCCTTCACCATCAAACCTGAACTATGGATCTTCATTTGCATGACTTTTCAAATACAAAACTATAACACATATGTCAACATTCATTTGTTACCAAGATGTCAGCCTTGGCCATCTCTTTGCCAGGGCCAGCCTAGCTGTCCATTTGTTAAATCTCCCAAACAAACCACTCTTTACTGATACCATCATCTTTTGCATAAAACACGGAAAACTTTACATATTTTACTCTTTAAAATCCTGTGTTCTGATAAAACATTGTTTAGACACTGATGAACTGCAAACAGCATTTATGCTACTAGTCATAATATAGTTATTAATAATAAGTACTTCCTCAGACTACATTTTAAAAAATCTATGTGCTCTACAAATTAAGACTATGTAATACTATGGGGAACTTCCAGCCACTACATTTCACAACAAACAGAATGTTTATTAACCTATTTTCCAAACAAATTACGGTTTCTTTTAACATTGAAATGAAGCAGGTCAGTAACATGGTTTTCTATCTTAAAACTCTTGTGATAGTTTACCTGAGTTGCAGCAACAACAGTAGTTACAGAAGGCGCAGTTGAAGGTGATAGAGCTCCCACTTGCTGCAAGTGGCCTGAAGCCTGCTGAGGTAAATGAGAACTGGAAACGGGAGTGCTAGATCCTGAGCCAGATACTGCATTTGGAAATGATACTGCTACATCATTGCTGCTAAAAATACCTGAAAAAAATTACAAAAACGATTACATGCATCTCTCTCTCTCCCCCTCCCTCTGTTTACTAGTAACCATGTAAATATGCAGTAGTAAATTAATCAAGACAAACAAGATCACTTAATACGTAATGCAGAAAGCTCCTGTGTAGAAATTCTAACCATGCTGATTGATAAAAGTGCTCTCGTCATTTAACATTCTACAGTTCAGGGAACACAGATTGATTCACTTTTAAGTTTTTGTAAAACATGTGTGATAAATCAAATATTTATGTGCATTACAAACTGCTCAAATATTAACAGTGGCAGAATTTTTGGCTAAAATGCCTGCCTTCAACTGAGTCTGCTAACAGAGTTTGCTCTTTCAATGTATTACTGTTAAGTAAAGAATGAAGTATTGGGCTATATAACTGAACACACACCATACAAATAGAAGAAATACTTTTTAACTTTAAAGCAAATGTTACTAAACAACATACATTTGTTCAAAACTGTAATTTTGGCAACTAAGAATTGCTTGTGCTTTTACAGAAAAATATTGACAGCAAGTCTGAGGACAGAGTACTCAGATTTGCCAATAGAACTGGCGATATTTCATTTATTCACGAACTATAATTCCATCCATGATCTATACGAATGCTTGACTAACATTTCTGCTAGAACAGCCAACAAATAAACGACTAAACACGTTAACATTAGTCAGACTTGTAAGTTAGCAATTTTAATAGGAAGAGTTCACATCCCTCTGTGAAGCCATTACTTCTGTTCATCTACATGCAGGGTAAAGTTCATTATAGAGGTTGGGAAAAAAAACCCTACTGACCAGAAGCCCAGGACAAGAAGTAGTACCTGTCTATGAAACCGTTAGGCTCCACGTGCATTAGATAAGTGAGCTGTCAGCTGGCCAAGGAATATCAAGCATGGTAGCACTGAACTGCAGTTAGAGGAAGAGTGCCACAGGGAGTAAACAGAAGTAGAATGAACATGGTTAGATCAAAAAAAGCAACAGAACTGAAATGCCAGTTAGAAGGCAAAGGGTGGAGCTAGTTTGTCACTTATACAAATAATGATTTGAAGAAGGCAGTGACAATAAGAAGGTACGCAATGTTAAAACACCACTCGCCACCCAGATATCCCTCTGAGCACAGGCAGTCAAGGGAGACTAACATCATCCAAACCCACACATAATATGCAAACACTGATGCATCTTAAATTCCCTGACTCTATTAACTGTCAAGAAAAAAGGAAGAGAAAATCAGCCAGACCCACTAGAGAAAGAAGATATGAAAAAGCAGCTGAAGACACCTCACGACAACATTTTTTCCTGCCTAACCAAAGTTAGTGACTTATCTTCTCCCCAGTCTCTTAATCACAGAGAAATTCCATGCCTACTCTGCTTTCCTACTGACCTTCATACCTTTTTCCATTTAGCATACCTCCCCCTCCTTGGTTTTTGTTTTGGTCACCATTCCCAAACCTACAGCCTTATTAGCAGTTAAGATCCTTCAAGTGTTCACTTTGCTTTGATCTTTTTCCAGTTCTAGCTGGATCATCTAACTAGACAGCACATTTTATGGATCCTGCTCTAATTCATCCCTACACACCACCAAAATGACCATGATTGCTACTGAGTCTACTCTAAAATGTAACATAACTACAACCACAAAAACTGAAATATAACTCAGGTCCTCAAAAGATTTTCAATTTGCTTTTAATCAACAATTTCAAATTAATAAAAAGGATGAGATTCGACCCTTTGTTTTTTGAATGCAGTAAAACAATTAAATATACAAACCTTCTTGAAAATAAGAGATTCTCATGAATTATCAGGCTTCAGGAACCATAAATTTTAAGAATAAAAATAATGAAATATCACAACACCTGTGAGTAAACCATAAGAGCTCATCACCACAAGCACTATCACTCTCATAAAACATCAACAGCAATGAGAGGAGAAAACAAAATTTTTGGTGAGAGTCAAATACTAAAAATAAAGGATATTTTGCCAGAAAGGTAAAACAATTCCAAAATTTTACAGCTATTATAGATTTTTTTATTCTTAATTTTTAAAAATCTTACATATTTAATAACTTCAGAGCTTCTGCTGTTTCTATTTTAATGATAAGGTTTATTCTTCCTCTTAAAAATAAAATTCTGGAATACAAGCAGATAGTTATGAAATCACAGGCAAAAGAATATTCCAAAAGAAAGAAAAACAGCAAACTGGTTTGCCAGTGGAATGAGGTAAGCTAATATTGTTGCCAGTTCTTGTAGTAGTATTAAAAACACTATTTGTTGCTGCTGCAAAATACAGGACAAATATGACCTATCAGCACACTCTTTTTGGGATCAGTATTTCCATTTAGCAATCCCTTACTTAACACATAAAGTGCATGCACCCTCTGAAACTAGTCATGCAACCAAGATACTACTCCATGCAGCATTCAAATAAGAATTTTATGCTGAACATTCAAATAAATTATTGATTTTCACACTGTTTCAAAAATACCTGTATAAAAACTACATATATATCATATTAGAAAGCCAAGACACTACATATTTGAAATGTCTCTAACATACTTAGTTGTCCTATGGGGTTTGGGGAGAGATAAATCACTTTCTGGATCAGGAAGGAATGATAACAAAAACCTGAGCAAATCTCTGTAAACTACATTAATGTTTAAAACAAACAAACCACCTTGAAGTCCTTCCTATATTACTGAAAAGCCAAAGAGCTGTAACTTATGATGAATGGCATTGTGTAATTTGCCAGCATAAATAGCATGGTCAAATACAATCTTCAGCATTAACCAGAGCACAGTTCTTCAGCTCCAGGTGGAAATGGACACAACACTGCTCAGGTAAAGTCTGACTGTGCATGACACCACTAACACAGCTGCAGAACATGGACTTCAGGTTCTAACAGAAAAAATGCACATGTAGCCTCAAAAGGCTTAACAAAAAGGCAACTGCAAAAAAAAAAAAAAAAGAAGTGTCTCTGGCCCACAAAAACCTGCCTGCTTAGCACAGAAAGACAGTATATAGAGTAGGGAACATATCAGATAATGCAGACTGGGAAAAAAATGCATTATTTATGCACCACCAATGACAAATTCAGTAACAGAGGATATAAAAGCACTTCAAGAATAGTGAAAATCAAAACAGCCTCAAATCAAAACTAGCAATGTATACCAGGTGGCACATAGAACAATTTTAGTGGTTTTATTTTAAAATGTCAAAAATAAGTAGTTCCATGAGCAGAGGAGTTAACAAAACTGATTAAATCCTGGATTTTCATAATATTGCATCTCACAGATGACATCAATACACTAAGTTTTCCCACCACAATTTCTGTGTCTAGCTATGAAATCTTCATTTCTTATTTTCTAGTACTTCAGCCCCCCTCATTATCCAGCTCTCTTACATTCCCTTCTTATGCTGAGGACTGCCTAGTTCAGCAAGAGAGAAAAAACAGGCAGTGGTTGCTTACTTTTGTAGCCATACACCATCCATTTCTATTACAGGAATATATGTGTTTTAGACCTTTTTTTTCTGTAAACTGGACAACAGACTTAAAGCTTCCTGTGAGCCGAAATCAAGAGAGACAACATCTAGACTACTTCCTTAGGAAGTTTGTAAAATGGTCTCCCTAAAGCTGTGTTTCCTTCTGTAGGTCAGAAATTTGAAACTATTACAACAATTCTGAAAAGAGGAAGTTATCTGAGATATCTGTCATAGGTTGCTCATCTTAGCATTTTGTCAGAACTTCAGGAATAAGAAGAATATGGCCAAAGAGGCAACTTTTCAAATGTAAACTTGTAGGCCCACAGAAGCTGCACAGAACTACAAAACCTTCCTACTTGGGGGAGGACAGATGGGCTTGGGACAACAACCTCAAGGGAACTCATAGTAGAAATTGCAGATATAAAAGGCAATTTTGAGTTATAAGGACAAGAATTTCTTTACACAAACTGAAGCTATAAGCACGTTTTCAGTACCTTCACTTCGTGTGGTAAGCTCAAAAAGTCTCTCTTAAACCCAGGGCAACTTCCTATACAGTGCAATATGAAAAAGTGTCTTTGCATGAAGCAGCCCATTCATTAGTAAACAAACATGTACAAAAAACTGATCAAGTTCCATTACACAAGAAAGAACATGTTCTGTTCCAGTACAATGTTAACAGTAGAAGAAGAACCCCACTATGTTATTTTTAATATCATCATAAACTGAAATGGATCTAATGCAAAACAGAAAACAGGTTATTTTTGACAGTTGTCAAAGGAAAAGGAAGTTGCAATTGGAACTGCCAAAGTAGCAACAATATTTCACTTAAATTTATGAGATCATGAGCTTGGATGCTAAGGGCCAATCTGTTTCCTTCATGAAGAAATCTGAAATCTAAGAATCAAATAATCACACCATTCTCCTGTTGGTGATGAAGAAAGTGGTAGAGTTAATTTTCAGATAGGTTTCTACAAGACTCTGCAGTAACAGTTACAGAGGAGCATGGAAATGAAAGTTACTGATCTGCAGCTGGGTAACAAGCAACATTTCCCTCCCTTTCAGTGACTGGGCATCCTTTTTTGATGAAGGCACAGCAGCCTGTCACAGATCAACAGTCAATGGCTTCCTTTCACAAAGGGCATTCTGAGTACTCTCCGTAACTGAGGAAGAAGTTAAAAAAGAGACTCAAAATACCCCCAGAATGCACACTGCTGGGGGTTGAGGGGAGGAGGTAAGAGACAAGGTACAAGTGTGTATGTTTTCAAAAATCGGTTTTCTAACTGTTTTGAAACAGTTGTTCCAGTTTCATATCTACTGACAGAAGGCAGACTGCCACAATTATTCCCTTTGAGAATACTCTGTAGAGTGGATTTACAGTCAAAGACCAAAATACTTAAGAACCTTGACACAACTGAGGAAAACAATCCAGCCTGGGCAATATGGCATATATATGGTGAATCCATGATCATATCACCTACAACTACAGCAAAGACCTGAAGACTGCT